GTCCAGCACAGCTAAACATGGGACTTTGGGCCCTGTGTGTGCTCAGCTCCATGTGCTCATCTGTCTTATCTAATTTACTGTGTTGTTTCCTATGTCACTCTGTCCTAGAGATAATTTCTTTAAACACAGGAACGCAAATGTCTTATTTCATCTTTAAAAATGTCCTATAAATGTCTTCACTCTTCACACAGCACTAGGCTGAGCATACAAGTGCTTGATATGTCTGTCTACACCAAACAGGCCAACCAACCACCAGCGCTGTTCAGAACTCTCTATTCAGAAGTAGACTAGGTTCACCTAAGGAGTGAGCCAGGGCATGGCACTGGAGGGACCTGGAAGACTCTATGAGATGGTGCTGCAGAGCTCCCTTCATCAGGAAGACTGTGCTCAGATAAGAATGGATGCTTCAGCAGAAAGGAAGAGAACTTTGTACATTTGGGTTAACTAACATGAAAGGAGTAGACAGGTCCAAAATTCTGAGAAAAAGATCCCCCAAGCCAAAAAAGCTGAAAGAATAGATTGTAATAGTTTAAAAACAACTAGGAAGTAAGTCCCTTGGTTCCTTGCATCACTTGGGCCACTTAAGCTTAACCTGGGTTTAAGTACAAGAAGTAAACCAATTGAAACTAGGGTCAACAACTAAGGACTTTGCAGACAAGGAATCAAGTCATAAAGAGTCTAATCCAATCTTCCTCCTACTACAGTATAGGAGAGAAGAAAGAAAGAGTGTGAGCATGAGACAGAGATGGAAGAGGCAATCCTATGTGGGCACTTCAGTATGAGAGAGGTTCACCAGGGAGAGACTAGGGAAAATGTAAGCGTTAATGAGTACAAAGAAGGAAAGCTTCTTGGTTTTAATTAAACTTGCCAATCTATACAGGCTCTTCTGAGTATCCTTAAGGTCCTCCCTCTAGTACAGACACTGATCACTGAATAATTTGCTAGGTCCTCGTACCTTCATGGTAAGATAAAAGGGGGTAGGCACCACATTGATTGGCTATGTAAAGGATGTCATGGAAAAAAGGGTGCTAGTAACAGAGAACTCCCCAAGCAGGAATAAGGTTCACACACACAAGATAAAGAGGTGCAGGCTGCATTTAGGAGGGGCTCTGGTGCTATGAGCCCTACCCAACATGGCATGGTACTCTGGGATGTGGGAGTGGCCCATCTTCCACAATGCCCTGCCTTAGACTAGGTGAATGGGCCTAAAAAGAGAATCTGACCGGGTAAGTTATGGGACAGCTCTGCTCTAGTCTTTTTCAGTGTTACTATTACATGCTTCCTGGTGCTTTCCACAGTCTCATTTATCTGGCAAGAGCTCTTATGCAGCACAGCTTTCTTAGTTACAGTAAACAGAGCAGCATGATTGAGTATGCCTTTGAGTGTCAGGTCTGGCTGCTCACTAGCTCACATGACCTTAGTGTCTCAAAGTTTCCATCTGTGAAACAGGATCAAAGTCTTCCTGGAGGATTACTAAGTGAAGGATTATTGAGAAGATAGAGAATTATTTATTATTATATCTGGCAGAGTGGGACTTGGAGAATGGTGGTCATCATTAAGGGAGAGAGTCTTAGTAAGGTGCTAGAGGTCAGAAACCCTTCCTGACTCCGTGGATTATTCTCACACTAGGAGCCTGGGATGTGGGGCGGGGGCAGAGGAACTGAGCAACAAAAATGAGGAAATAATAAAGAACAGGTGTTATCATGCACCCAAAATTGTAAACTGAGAACATTTTCAGTACTCAAAACTAATATAAATGCACAGTGCTGACTTTGATGAGTTCAGAAGACTGTGACCTGAACAGCATACGGCCTGCAGATGAGCTCCAAACATACCAGCAGGAACAGTCTTCTTGGCGAGGACAGAGCATTGAGGACAAGCTTTCAATTTCAATGAAATAGACAGAGACCTCATCCAGTAGACTATACCACACAGGGCTTTAACTATTCACTGGACAATATCTTCTCAAGAAACGACTTTCTGTTTCCTACCCAGGAAAGAATGCTGCTGGCTACCTAAAGATGGTTACAAGCTAAAGACCAGAGTTATGCAGTTCCAGAAGAGCTGAGAGGAGTAGGTGAGTCCTGTATTGGAGGAAAAGCTGGTACAAACTCTGCATCAGCACTTAGGCATCTTCCTTATAACTGCAAGCACCTATAAAGCTGTCACCATCTGATAATGAACAGTGAAATAATACATGCTATCAGCAAACAAGTGGGGGTGTTTTTTTTTCCACTCAGATCTGCACACTGTGCTGGATCAACTGCTACCAGAGGAGTTCCTTTGCCAGATGCTGTTTTTTTTTAATGTCAACAGAAACTACCATTGACAATCAATAAGGGGAAAACTAAAGTTAGTGATGAAGTCCAGCCCTTACTAATGGACAGAACAAACAACAAAGTAAGAACTAAAAAATTAAGTATAGGTTTTATATTTTTCACTTTATCACCAAGAATGATTTAAAAATAGCTAGTCAGGAGTCTGCAACAATAGCCACTGACACTCTTCTCTTGGGAAAGTTTAACATGACCCTTTACTGCTGTTGGGTGAACAATGATAAATTATAGTAATTTCATATTTCATTTATATACTATTCTTGAAGTGACAAAATTACAGAGATGAAGAACAGGTTAGCAGTTGCCAAGGAGTGCATGGGGGCTGGGGCAGGTGAAGGTAGCTGAGGCTATGAAGGACAGCATGAGGGTCCCTGTCATGGAGCTCCTTCGATCAGGATCACAGTGGCTGACACAGGAATCCACCTGTCACAGTGTCACAGGACCAGACATATAAAAGTGTAGAAAACTGGTGAAATCTGAAATAAGGTTAATAGGCTGAATCAAAGCTGACAGTCCTGGTTATAATACACAGTAGTTATGCAAGATTTACCTCAGGGGAAACTGAGTGACAAGCATAAGCGACTTTACTGTTGATTTTCTACAACTGTGAAATTTATTAAAAAGTGGTAAAGTCTATTAAACTGTAGCTTTTGAGAGGATTCAAATGTCTGAAGATACTAAGCAGTTAGTGACACACATTTTAGGGACACAGACAAGCTATCCTAACAGGAACACTCACTTTAGCATAGCCAAGGTGCAGTTAAATCTCATCATTAAATTCTAAAAGTGAGAGTCTGCACAATGGTAAGCAGGGCATGTACACAGTTTAGAGCTGTGGCTTTGCATTTTAAGCCTGATGAGTACAGCGGGTTGGTGCTGGCCTCACAATCCCACGTAAACTACCCAGTTTGCAGTTTTTGAGCCAGAGTCTCAGCAGGATGCAGCATATCATGTACTCAGGAAGAGGCCACTGGAACCATTTAGTCGTCATTTAGCTTCTTATTCTGACAGTGTGCAGAGAAGGCATGGGTTAGGTTAGTTAGCAGTCTGGGATTCCTGCCATAGCTGCAGTTCTGACAGATGTATTCGAGAGAAGGAATTTTTACTGTGAAAGCTACCCATGTCATGTAATTCTTGAGGAGGTCAGAAGAGGGCATCAAATTCCCTGGAACTGGAGTTAGAAGGGTGTTAGTCATCATGTGGGAGCTGGGATTCGAACCTGAGTCTTCTGCAAGAACAGTCAGTGCTCTAACTGCTGAATCATCTCTCTAGCCCCTGGTTTTTTTTTTTTTTTTTTTGGTATCATAACAGGAATGAAACAGGATGAAGAGGGAGGCCAGGGATAACACAGCACTGCTTTGTTCCCTGGGAAGCCCTAAAGAAAGTGCCTGAGCAGGGTCTAACGCTGTCCATACTAGTGGAAGAGGAGACATGCACTCAGGAATCACAGCTCAGTTTTGTTCAGATAGCTCTTCTTCCTCATTCCTTGGATTTACAAGAAAAAACAAGTTAAAAAAAAACTTACTAAATTGTCAATTTTCTGTGACATTTCAAAGTCATGAAGCTTTCATGTCAGTAGAGATAGGGGGCTACCAGCAAACAAATCCCTGGATTCTTCAGTATGACTTCCCAAGGGGCCCCGTCAGGACCTAGTCATAAGCCAACCATTCTAAAACCTTTGCAGACATTCTTAGAGCATTTTAAAAATACAGCTGATGAAAGGCATCAGATCTTTCTCATTTTGTTTATTAATGACATTTTCTAAATCTGATGTAGGTAGCTTTTTGTATTCTTTGTCATGTATCTTTTCATCTACCTCTCTGTTGTCTTCATGGTCAGCACAGGTCTCTGCTCTAGGACTCTCTTTCACTCTCTGGTCTTCTGAAGACATTTTGTTATTATTTTTGTTTAAATAATAGGTAGAAAGCACATACAGTAAAACTATACAGATGCGCACCTGAGTCTGTGTCTACTGGGTATGGGAATGCACACACTAGGAAAGAAGGATGTCTGTAGAGAAGGGTTTTGGGAAGGATCATACAACATGAGTTCATTAAAACACAGCCCTGAGCTATCCAGTCATAAACTGCACATCTTAAAAAAAGACGAGAAAGTGTTTTTCCTCGGTCATCATAACAAGACAACCAGCCTTGATTGAGGAACCTCTAAACTAGACTTCAGCACATCTGTTTTCAAGCCAAGCAGTTGTTTCAGCTGTGACTCAGGTACCCAAGTACACAGGCTCTGGACTTCAGATAACCCTAGTGAGCTCTGCTAGAAACCACTTCTCACTGTTCCCAAGCAGCTACCCAGACACAACCCCAGAGACGGATGCCTGCCTGAAGCTAGGGCTCAAATTCCCTAGAGCCAAATTCCAAGTGGCAAGAAGCCTGGGTTGCTCCATGAGACTGATAGGCTGCTACTCTGGAAAAACTGTTTACTTCCATGTGTTTGTATCCTCAGTGTCTAAACAGAGTCTGGTTCGTGGGAGACGCTGGTAACTGTGTATAAAACCAACAAATGCATACTGCCTGGACAGAGGAGAGATAGCAACTATAGTCAGAAACGGTGTGTATAAAGTATAAATGAATTATGGCTACTGCTAACAAGGATAGAAGCACTAATTTACTTTTTGAATAAGAACAATAAACTCCACTGGCATACCTGAGTGACAGCTGAGATTTGCTGTAGGGCCATGGTCTGTAGATTCTCGTCTCGGCTCTCGAGCAGCAGCTTCAGGGATGGGAGCAGGAGGGACTGGCGAAGCAGCAGCAGGCACAGCTCCTTCACACCCTGAAACCACACATGGTCAAGGTGAGTCCAACTCATGAAGCACACTGCAACCCTGTGTGGCGTCTTCTAGATGTGTTTTTTCCCATCTCTTTGCTGTCCGAGTGTGTGTGCATCACACGCAGGACCATACTGCACACAGAGTTGAGGTCCATATCTTTCCCTTCAGGCATCCATGTACAACATTGCTTTCAGTGCCTAGACACACTCACTGGGGGGATATAGTACTATAATTTATTTTCTCTAATTCTTGGAGCTTTGTTTTTCCTATAAGTAAGATGGAGGGTTTTTCAGTTTTTGTTGTAACTGAGAATCAGTGTTAATATAAATGTGTAGGCTGAGCATATGGAAGTCGCTTCGTACCAGCTGTTGTTGACACTGATGATGCTAATATCTAGTTCTTATCTCTTGAGACAAAGGGCATCAGCAAATAAAATATTTTAAAAGCATGTTTAAAATTCTAATGTTAAAACATGTTTAAAATTCTAATGTTATGGTGAATTGAATCCTTGATATATTTGGGACATTCCATTGTCATGAAAACCATCTGTGGTCCAGAACAATAAGAACATGTGGCTCAACACAGGTGTACCTGTATTTCATTCTCAGCTTTTTATTACACTGGCTGAATCTGTCAGCAGAGAACAGGACTTTGAACAAGGCAACAAATGATAATCCTTTACAACAAAGTAACTGAAGATACATAACAAAGATATATAAGAATTAAAAAAAAAAAACAAAACAAAAAACCCTGCAAGCTATTTTACCTTACTGAGCTTGCTACTTTTGTGTCCTGACTTTAGCTGTGACCCAAAGAAGAGAATGCCTAGACCAAAGCACAGACAATAGCTGTAGCCCCATTATACTAAAGCAAGACTATTTTAGAAAAAGAATCAACGGTTGCTACCCTCCACAGGCTGATCTTTCTGTTGTACTTAAACAGTAGTAGATCAGAAAAGAAAATTTCAACATTCGAATATAGGGCATTTTCAAAATTCCTGTCCATTATTCTAAAGCAGAGATGAACCAGGATGACACAAAGGAGCTCCAGGTGAAGCTGGGCTGCAGTCTGCATTGGTATTCCATACACTGTCCTTTCCCCTTTCCCCTGGCATCAGCAAGGCCTTTGCATTTCAGAGTAGACATTTCTGCTGCCACGAAAATCCAGGGCGGGGGCAGACTGCAAAATGTATACTGCTAGTGGTATGGATTCTAATTCAGAAAAGCACTATGTAAGCCTCGGAAAAGACCCCTTGTACAGGTCTCAACAATTGTCAGGGCCAAAAGGAAAATGCTAATTTTCCATCTAATGATGAAACCTGAAGAAAGTATTCAAGAACATGACACAAACTGCCAAAGATGACTGTGCCCCAGCTGTCACGTGCCAACCTGCTGCCTGTGTCTCCTTCTCCTTTATTCTTTTGGCCATGTGCCCCACAAGTACAGCCCACAAAAACCACCATTCACTAACCTTTTAGTCCCACTGAGTCATTTTCAATCAGTCCCATCCAGTACTACAGACACAAGTCTAGAACCACAGTACAGATGTGTTAAGCTCATCTGAGGAATTGCACTTTTAATTTTGCTTGTGCTGTAATTTTACTATGCTAGACTGAACAGCTGCTGTATGGATTCTCTAAGTACCTTCACATCTTTGCACATGGTGACCTTTGCTCTTTCTCTTTAATACCCAGCTTAAAAAAAAAAAAAGGCATAGGAGCTTGGGAAAGCAGTCCAGTCAATAAAGTATTTGTGTAAGCATGAGGACCTGAGGTAGATTCCCAGTACTCAGGTAAAGAACACATGGTAGTGCATTCCTGTAATCCTAGCTCTGCAGAGGCAGGGACAGAAGGATACCTAGGATTTGCTAGCTGGTCAACTCTAGGATTACTGGGAGACCTTATTTCAAAAACCAAGTGGGAGAAGCTTTTAAGGAAGACACCTGATGTTGGCTTTCATGCTTGGCATAGCACCTCCTTACCTCATCTGGGCAGGCACCTCTGATTTGGCCCAGCTTAGCTCCCTTTCTCTGTTCCCACTATATTTTCTATTTTGACATCTTTTGCTCTATATGACCATAATTATTCATTGATCTGTCTCTATCGATGGTGACTATATTCCCTCTCCTGCATTCCAAAGATATTTGGCACAGATCATATCTAAGATATTTGTACAAGTTCTTCTCTTGATACTCAGGTTTGCTACTTAAGAAGATATCAGCAACTGATAAGTTAATTTTTCAGAACTTCATGATGTTTAGACTATAAATAACTTGGTTATCCCCCTGAGAAGACAAAATGAATAGATGGAGTATCAAGACAAGGACTTAGAATGGAGGAAGTCAATTTATGTGAGCCACTGAGTACTTCTTAGTTTCTTAGTTAAGTTGCTGTGCAAATACTCTACCTTAAAACGCTAATCTTCTACTGTGCTTGGAGTGCAAGAGAGGGACATTCATCATGAGGTTTACAAAGGGCTTTGGGGAGCTACAAGCAGGCCAAAGCAGCAGAGAGAAACACAAAACACCACTTTCAGCACCTTCCTAGTTCAAACTCATCAGACAGTCATAAGACAAGAAACAGGCCTTGAAATAGAGTTACGTGGGCCTGGGCTCAGAGATAAGCCTTAGCTTGAACTTTGTTCTCCCTGTGGTTTGTGATTTATGGTTATGCAACAGATGATGTTTTTGGGGAAGCCAGACCAGCCCACCAATACTCTTCCTGCCTTCACACAACCCTCTGCTGGATTGTGGAATCAGTGTTAAAAGATGTTGCAGAGCCTGCAGAGGGAGCATGAGCACAAGGTGTGCAGAGCTTGTTCTGCTGCAGATCCTCAATGGGCCAGGCTAGACCGTGGCAGCCTCAGGTATTGTGGGCTCCACTCAGCTGGGTAGGCCATAGGGTGACTGTGATGGGACTGATGAATATCTGTGATCTCCTGCTCTCTCGAGCTTCTCAGGTGATTCTGGGCCTAGATCTTGACCTCTAGGCTGCTGGAAGTAACTTCCATCTATAATCTCCACCTAGGGACTCAAATTCCAAACTGAACTCCAACTGCTTGCTATGCTTTAGGCTATTCCATATCATTTAGCTTGCTCCAAAAATCCTTTGAGGAAGGCATCATGGTCTTGGCCCTGTCAATGAGATGAAGATGAAGAGGAGGAGGAAAGCAGGAGAAATAGCTTGGTTGTCATTGGCATCTAAACATTAAGTTCCTGAATTATTAAAAGCAGATCAGCTGTGAAGAATGATCACACTCAAGATTTTGAAGCTCATTACTAGATGATTCACTCCCATAACAGTTCCATAGCATCTATGACTAACTCATGATGTACCTCAGCAAAATCACAGACCTTCAGGGTCAGTTACAGATAGCTGGAACTTGGAATTATAGGTCTATAAATGCCAAGAACCTGTTTTATCCCAATTTCTTACATCACGTACTCTCTACCTGAGAAGGCAGTATGAGGAGAAATCTTAGTACATCCGTGCTTTACCTGCTGTCTAGTATTCATGTTCCTAAAATCATGCAGGAATCACTGAGCAGACAGCCTAAGATCAACCAGGACAACTACAAATGAAATGCACGTGTTAGTCTTTCTCCAAACAAATCAGGGAGCTGGATCATCCCATGCATTTAACTTATCCAACCACATTAGTCAATAAAAAGAGATAATAACTTGCCGGGCGTGGTGGCGCATGCCTTTAATCCCAGCACTCGGGAGGCAGAGGTAGGTGGATCTCTCTGAGTTCAAGGCCAGCTTGGTCTCCATAGCGAATCCAGGCCATCTGGGGCTACAGCTAGACCCTGTCTCAAAAAGACAGGTTTTGAAAACCAGAGGGAACCATATTACTCCTATAACCTACTGACAAATTATACATAGCAGATCAAGAAATACATGTCTAGGTAAGGTTTATCTGAGAACAATTGGTCTTTGCCCAAGATTTATCTACATGACACACAGTAATTAAAAGTACCAGGCTGGTGGAACTAACCTTCTTGGATGTTTAACAGACATACTTCGAGGCCTATACTAATTTGGTCAGAGGGACATAAAGGACCGTTTTTGCTCCTTGCCCTCCTAGGTCAACTAGTTCCAGGGGACTATGGGTATCTCTCAAAATGTCTTGTAACTGTGGTCACCTGTCCTCTTGATCAAGGAGGCCGAGGAGACCCCACCAGATGGACTTGAACCAGTGTCCAGTCTGCAAAGAGGAGGGTCAACACAGAGGAATCATTCCCTCCATGCTTCCAAGCGAAGCCAAGCATGGTCGAACAGGACCCTTGACTTATCTTCACATAGGCGGAACTGGTAAAAGGAAGGAGCCAGGGGCTCCTCCCAAGCCCATGGGACCCCTGAGGAACAGATCCTCAAACAGCCTTACGAA